GTTGTGTATATTTCTTGCAAGTAGGGTACAATTCTTTGCAGTTCTCTGTGACTAACTTCTGAATGGCAACTAGCTCCTCACAAGGATCCGGAACAGAACTGTTTTCCTCATAATCTCCCCTATCATCTAAGCCAGCAGCTAAGTCTCTGAGCAAATCAGATATGTCATCATGTTCATTGGACTCGTCCATAACCTCAACATCATCACCATCAAAGTCTCCATGTAAATGTAACACCCTAAAAAAATTTCTCTTTTTGAAATAGATGAAAATTGAATTAATTATGCAATTTTGTGCTCATGAAAACATAGGAAAATAATATTTTTCCTTAAATTAAATTTTATCATAAGGCTTAGCCACGTGTTGGTCATTCATGCTGATGCATACCTATTTTGTGATGCTTGGGTTTGATCAAAATTTGCAAAAAGATTTAAATTTGAATTAAATTTGGATTTAAAAGTGGTTTTGAAATAAAAAAAAAGAAAACTCTTCTCCCTCTCATCTGGCCCGCCGGCCTTTTCTCCTCTGCGGCCTAGTCTTCCCCCTCCCGCCGTGGCCTGTTTCCTCTCCCTTGGCCCAGCGCACCGCCCAACCCAGTAGTTGCATCCCCCGCTTCTCTTCCGCGTGTCTCGCTGATCGACGTGTCCCATGTGTCAGGCGCTGTCGTCTTCCTTACGTGTCTGCACCGAACTCTGCCGCACTATCTCCGACTCCGCCACCGCCACGCCTCCTCCCTTTGCTGTGCTTCCCAGGATGCTCCCAGACAAAAATATCGAGCGCCCCGCACCGTGCCGCTTCCATCCCTAGCCTCGGAGCCACAGCCAAGTTGCCAAATTGCCGCACCGCTGCGGAAACCTAGCGCCACCATCCGCTGTCGCCCCGCCAAGCCACGCACCGCCTCTGTCCACTCCGCGCCTCGGTAAGTCGTTAGATGAATTCACCGTTTTCTTCTCCATCTTCCCATGCTATTCCTGTGAGAAACCATTGCCCATAGGCCTAGATCCAACTACGCCGGCGAGCTCGCTCGTCTCGGCCATGGCGTCGCCACGCTTAGCGCTGATCCGGCGACCCCGCCCCTCCCGATCTATTCTGCACCGTTCGTCGTCGATCCGATGGCTTAGATTTGAAGATACCGATTCGGCTGGCAACATTGCATAAGAGCCCCTATCGTTTCTGGAATTCGAACCTGCCATCCCTATGTTTTTTAAAGAGACCCTCAGTTTTGAATAATCAACCCGCGGTCCAAAGCGTATTCCCGAGAATACGTTTTCTTATTCTGAAAGCGTAGTTTTCTTTCTAGTAGATTCAAAATACGCTTTCATCTATTTATAATTTGGCCACTAATCTTGTTTTAGCTATAAAATCTTCGTTTTAACTCTGATTTGATCCGTTCAAGTTGCGTTAGATTCGTAATTACGTAATCTATATGTTTATACTACTGTTAAATATATTTTCAACTTTTGAAATTCGAGGTTAAATTTAATCAATTGTTTTATTAAAGGAAATCTTGTTTAATTCATATCTTTTTCGTTATAGCTCCGATGAGAGTGTTTTTCGCGTCTATATTTTCGTAGTAACGTGTAGAACATCTTTAAAACCTTTTTACTTGTTGTGTATTATGTTTGGTGTATGGTTCTACTCTAGTATTATTGTTTGCTTCGTGTATGATTGCATGGATGCTTGTGTGATGCTTTATGATCATGTCCAGTCGGTGAGCTTTGCGTTGGTGATATAAAAGAAGTTGGTGATCCAGAAGAAGTCCTTTAGAGGTTACAATTCAATAGAAGAAGGATCAGAGTTTAAGGCAAGTATAGCATGGGATCTTCCTTGTTGTCCTATTCACTTTAATAATTTAATTCATATTGCATGTGTCTACCTTGGCAACCGTAGTAAATTTTCCTAGCTACTTTATATCTTGGATTCCTTGTCACCTATGGGGAATTACATTGGGTAGTATGATGCTAGTACTCAACCAAAGCCATGATCTTGTAACTTGACTAATGGTATATGTAATAAACATTAAAAGATCCTTTTTAGCAATATGGAATCAAGGGGCTAGAGCATTGGGCCATTTTTATGGTGCTCTAGATTCCTTTCCCTAAGTACTTATCTGTAAGAAAACATTCGAGACTTATACTACAATTATGAGGGCTACATGGCTCTAGCTTTAGCTCAGTATGAGGACCTTTTTCTAGCTTGTTAATGGTTACCTTTATGGCGCAAGAGGGACTCCGACAGGTATGATCTTGGCCTGCCAAGACGCTACACTTTGGTTTTTTGGTATTTTGTTAGTCACTCCATAGAGGGGGTTCATGCTTATTGATGCGGAAACCTCAGCGGCCCTGACTTGTTAGACAAACCTTTGAAAGGCTTTATAGTGAACCCTGCCGACCTTCCTTGGTAGTGGGTCAAGAGGTTGGCCGCCTCAGGCGAAAGGGTAAATCACGACTTATAGTGAAAGTGTACAACCTCTGTAGAATGTAAAATTGGTATATCAGCCGTGCTCACGGTCACGAGCGATCTTGGACACTTACAGAATAGATGATGAACATTGATGGTACTGATGATAAAGATGCTAACTAATGATTAATGTTTATGCTATTCATTATTCATGTTTACCTGATCATGTGTTTATGTGGGCTTGTGGATAAATTTGTTGCCACCCAATTGCTAAAATCATGACTCATTAAAAGCTACTCGTAGTTAAACCAGTGTCACCATTTTGAGCCTCGTGAACCCCATGTTATATTTGTTGAGTACGACATGTACTGACGCTAGCTTTATTTTTCAATTATTTGGATAAAATACCAGATGGGTACCAGATTGCTAAAGTTTGGAGGAATTAGACTTGTGATCAAGCAGTCAGTTGTCCCTATGGAATTAGAGTCTTCACGCAAAGATCGGAGTTGTCTTTCCGTTATTTGCTGTCTAAGGTTATATCCTTTATACTAAGTATGTTATATATTAAGCATTGTCTATTGATATTATCTTTATTTATAGATATATGTGAGATTTGACTTTCTGGGCTCACATATGGTGTGTATCTGGTTTTGTCCTTAAAACCGGACGCTACAGTAAATTTCATGTTCTATACCCTTTTAGAAACCCATCACATATAACATGTTCATGGACCTCACTAACCTCTTTCCAAAAAGAGTGGACACACTTTCTACATGGGCATAATAACTTTCTACCAACAGCTGAGTTACTAAATGCAAACGCTAAGAAACTGTTCACTCCTTGCAAATATGTCTTGTTGTGCCTACATGAAACTTTTATATGAAAAGCCATTTTAAATAGCTACATATACCACTTTCAGTATTTGTGAAGCTATTATGTTTTACCTAGCATCATCATCAATCCAAGATTTATCTATCACGGTTACGAGGGCGAGAACAAGAAGTTGTCCAAATTATATCATCCATCTATGAAACTTGGGCACCACAAAATAATGCTTCTTAAAATAAGCATACATGCAGACCAGAGGGGGGAGAGCATCACCTGGTCCTTTTGCTATAAATCCACACACTAGATGAATTCTTCCAGCTCCTGCCCAACACACAACGACTCCCACAACTCCTGCTTGTCCGTAGGACACCGGATCTTGACTCCTGGTTCCAGCAGGACAACACCTCCCAGATCTTGACTCCTGGCTTCAGCACAATTACACCTCGCAGCTCTAACTCCCTCCTGTAACGTGCTGTCATTTTCAGATTTTATCGAGAAGTCCCAACAGTTACAAAAAGGGACTCCAAAGCATCAAACACTCCATCAACACAACAAAAAAATATTCTCAGCACAGGGGAATTCTCTGAATCTTAACTACAGAGAACAAAAAAAAGAAACAAGAGAGCAAGGTCATCGACTTACTGATATGTGGTTGCTTCCTGTATATGTGGTGAAGCTCGTAGGTCAGGATGGGGGCTTGGGGAAGGATTTGCGCACGAATCGCGGGAGGACCTGTTTATTGAAGCAGAGGGAGTCACTGTCGCGGCGCGGGGGGCACTGGGGGCTGCGCATGCCGGAGGGTCGCCGGAGGTCCGCGTGGGGTTCGCTCAGGAGTGCCTGACGGGGGGCGAGGCGCGCGGGGCAGTGGTGAGCCGCCGGGTGCGCGTGGGGCAGCCTTCGAGGGGCGACTGGGGTCAGGCCGAGGGATCAGATTGTGGAGCCAGCTGGGGCGCCGGGAATCTACCGACCGGGGAGGCGCGCCGGGGGCATCGGGGAGCCGCCGGCCAGGGGGGCGCGCCGGGGGTGATGGTAGGCCACGCCGGTTCGAGTGGGTCGCGCGCTCTCGTGGGCAAGGAACCGGGGAAGGGATGGGGACCGGAGACTAGAGAGTGGTGGCGGAGGGAAAAATGGAAAGGCATAGGGTTTTTCCAAAGGCGATTGAGAGAGAGCGACCAACGCTGGGCTAACAAAGGCCCTGCTTATATTTCAGCGCCAATTGAGTAAAGAGTGGCGCCAACATTGCTCATGTGTGGGTCCTCCAAATTTTAGGCGTGAATCAGGTTAAGCATCTACGCGCAGGCTTAATTCAATGTGCCGACCGACCGGCGGACCTAGTTAATAGGATTTACTGACCGACCGACTAACGACAAATCAAAATAAAAATACCGACCAACCCTCGGATGAAAAAAATAAGATATAGCGACTGGTTTATACCGACCGACCGTCCAACGGCATTTCGATATTTTTAGCGACCCTATGTCCAACGCTAGTTTGGGTTGTGGTACAGTGGATTCCCCGGAGCTCGAGTTCTATTTTTTCAGATTTGGAATAGTGTTCCAGTTTGGTCACACGCACGCTTAATACATCCAGGTTTAGCCTCTGGCCCACATGTCACACACAGAGCATAATAACGCAAAATAGAAAGACGTTTTCTTCCTTTGGTGGCGTCTTCTTGCTTGACACGTCTTCTTCAACCTTCAGTACTCTGGGGTGTGACAATCGCTCTCACCCACCAGGAGAAAATTGCAGCAGCACATAATTGACTACTGCATCCATGGCATCCACTTCGATATCAGTTCTATTCCTCCTCCTCCTTGCAACCTTCGCCGCCAGTGCCAGCGCGGCCACCTTCACCGTCAAAAACAACTGCAGTTCCACGGTGTGGCCAGCTGCCATCCCGGTCGGTAGAGGCACGCAGCTAGAACCAGGACAGACGTAGACTATTGAAGTGCTCCCCGGCACAACCGGCTGGTTCTGGGGCCGCACCGGTTGTTCCTTCAACGGCGGAAGCAGTGGGCACTGTGACACCGGTGACTGTGCTGGCGCCCTCAACTGCACCATCTCTGGGCAGCATCCCGCGACGCTGGCTGAGTTCAGTATCGGCGGCACCGAGGATTACTACGACATCTCGGTGATTGACGGCTACAACCTGCCCATGGCCTTCTCCTGCAGCACCGGCTCTAGTCCGGTGTGCACGAGCCCCACCTGCACCGAGGCGTACCGGTTTCCGAACGACGATTCCAAGACCCCTGGATGCAGCGGCAACAGCAACTACCAGCTCACCTTCTGTCCATGAGACAGCGGGCGGATGGTGCTCAAGTCCAAGGATATATATTCATGGAGTATCTGAGGAACACGAAGGTGCAACCTTGTTATTATTTCTACACCCGCCATCTACATAGGAGTGGAAAAGAAGATATAATATTTTTTTTGATCGGGTACAACTTGGACGCACACAACTCACCCACGCCACACTCACACCACACGTAGTACCACCGAACATGTGTGTACCCTAAAATTTCTAGAAAAATTCTAGAAAAAAAGATGTGATCACCAAGGTTTGTACCTTGTTGAAGGTGTGATCACCAGGGTTTGAACCTTGGTGGGTAGCGTCCCACTAGACAGCCCTACCACTGGTCCATAGGCCCATTCACAAGATATAATAATTGGATACATAGAAACCTTCTAAAGAAAATTGAAAACGTATTAAGCGAATAAAGTAGTGTCTTTTTAATAAAAAGCGTGCCAAGTTGTATAGAAAAAAGTCACTAAGAACATTTATGGTGTAACAGTCATGGACACTTGCCATGGATTCACAGCACATGTTCATATGCATGTATCTAACAAAGTGGGCTAGTGTTTAAATTTAGGAGGAATAGTTGCAAAGAAAAACTACAGCTCTCTCAATCGTTAGATGCATGCGCATGTGCACGTGGTCCTGACTACAATATCAATAACATTTCAGAAGAATGCGTACTGTCTGTTCAAGGTGTTCTTGATTGTTGACTACTTCAATAAAAAATCAAAGAACTTACACTTCCTCTAATATCTTGTTAAATTAACTTATATATGCATGTGTTCAAAAGAATGCTCACCAAATAATAAGATTATTAAGACGAGCAGAGAAAAGGATATATATTTGCAAAACTATAAACACTGTTCTGAGGGTTATCAATCACGAGTGGTTCCTTGATCTTCATCTAGCTGAGGCTGAGCATGTTGAGTGGCTTTTGTGGTACCTGGTTCCCGACTACCATCGAGTCGGTAGTCAACCCTCATGGGACATATATATCCAACTGGCGAAGTGATATCCAAGCCCTGAGTGGACTCGCGGTGGTCACCTATTAGAAAATAAATGTGGAAGATCTCTCTCTGCTATAAAGAAAAACTGTGGAAGATCTCTCTCTGCTATAAAGAAAATAAATGCTTTTTTTTACAGAGGGAGTATGCTTGTGGCCAATTGGATGGTGTAAGGAGGAACTAGGTGGGACCCTAGACTATAGAGTCATTCTTTGTGGGTCAAAGTTTCAAAGCTGTAAGGAGTCAGGAGCGAGTATACTCCATGCTAAAATCTGTTGAATATATACCGTACATGCTTGCAGGCGAAAGATATTGATCAAATTACAGAATGCCAAAAGTCATATAGGTCTGCGATTTGGATCAGACGAATATACGTCGTGTATGTACGCGCCCAGAATAGCCAGTCAACACTACATCACATGTATGCATTGGAATTCCAGGTACCTTGGGAATTACATGAACACGGACACGAATTTGGTCTGTCTGTGGAAGAAATTTTGGCAGGGTGAGAGAGCGACATTATTGCAGCAGGATCCTGATCACTGAATTTTTATATAAATATATGTTTCAAAGGATTTGAGCTCAGGCCTCTCACAATGATAATGTCTTGGACAGGCAGGTTATCCACGAACCCATAAATAGATTTAGTTTTTGCGGGTTATGCATGTAGCCCTTAAAATGAAGCCTATTGTAGGTTCGCGGACAACTCGTCTTGCATCCCTAGGTACTATTCCCGTCTATGTTAGTCTTATCACGTACTGATGGGAATCCCTAAGTACTTCATTTAGTACTATTCCCGTTCTACAATTGAGCACGCGTTGGCTATTTTCATTTGTTATACGACTCGGCTAGCCCATATTTTCATTTGTTATACGACTCGGCTAGCCCATGGATCAGAGCCTCACTTTTATGAATGATTTATATATTGCACTTCACATCATTGCAGTAACATATATTGCAAACCATCAGCCCACTGATCAGAACACCATGATTATATTTATTCAACACCATTACATCAACAATTATTTTCCCTCCATTAATGATAGACCGTTAGAAAGATTATGGACGGCCTTGCATCAATGCTGTTCGAGGCTGTGGCTATGGTGGGCAATGAGGGGCGCATGCGGGGCACTCAGCCTGACAATCAGCCCTTGTCCAGTAGCAAACATCATTCCCATCGTGCAAACAGCAATAGCAGTCACGGTTCCCATCACATGTATAGTTAGCACAGAATGTAATAGTGAACTTGGTCTCAGGAGGTACCGATGTGTTCCTGACCAAAAAACCTTTTAATTTCTTGTTGGTAGGACTATTTTGGTAGGTTTCTTTATCTCCAGTCTTAGAGAGCGCCGGACTACCTATTGGAGATTTTTTTTCATCAGTACATCAGGAGATAATACACACACACATACAAGTTAACCAAAAGACAAGATGATGTAAACTTACAAGGGAAAGGAAGGCACACAAAAAGAACGAAGGACAAGATTGCCATCACATACAAAAGGTTGGCACAACAGCTCTTCATGGTGTATCTCTTTGTATTTTTCAATCAGACTTAACCTTATGTTTGGAGGGTTACACAGTTGAACTTTATAGCAAAATAATGTAGTCTAAATAAGTGCCATGGTTAAGAAGACCTCTGATATATAGAGACAGGTAAATTCTCGCCTACTAATGTATAATAGATATATCATATATATAGTTGTATTTCACACTTTGTGAAGTTGGCAGTTATTAAAGTATCCTTTGCTCTCTGATAGCAATGATCGCTAGCCTCAAATAGATTGTATAATTCTATATTTCAGTTTAAGGAACTGCAAAATTGGTAGTCATTAACCTTTGCCAAATTTATGTGCTGGAATTGAGGATCCATTAGGTCTACTACTTTTAGTTATTGGTACATACAACATGGTAGCAATCAATTTTGGATGACTTCTCACATCTTCTACTATTTTTATTTTTAAGAGATTTTACAATGCTTGAAAGTAATAATAGCCATTCATTAGTCTAGATCGATCGAATGGCCAAAAATAGAGAGGTACCTATTAGGAGGAGAACCTAAGTTGTGGACCAGAACCTTAAATTTGTGTGCCAAGAACTACATCCAAAATTAGGTAGAGGGGTAAATATGTACTTTCATCTACACGTTTAGTTATTCTAAGAGAGTAATTAGCGCATCTGTAACTCTTCCATCCCAACACTGTCACCGTCATGTCGCACGGCCGCGACCTCTCGCCGGTACCTACACCGAGACCGGCACCCACCTCCTGTGCTCGCTGCTAGTGCCGCCACGGCCACCACATCTCTCTAACTGTGCTCACCTCACTACTTTTTTCTAGATACATGCTTCTGATGCGTATCTAGATATACATTATATGTGAGTACAAATCAAAGTACACATATATAGAAACGCCAAAACGCTTTATCATTTAGAATAGAGGAAATAGTTCTCAATGCTATCTGTAACTTTGTAGGTGACGATTTTAAGGTCTGAAGTCGTTTAAAGTCCTAAATATCCTATTTATGTTGTTAGATTTTGAAACTCAAAATTTAGAATTTTCAAGCTGACTTTGGAATTTTGATGTTGACAACTTGACATATGTTATTATACATCAAACTTCTAGTTAAAGTGAACTACAAATTTCTACTACCTGACAAGTTTTTCATTTGAAATTTGAGCCCTAACTTTTAGTTTTGAAAATCTCAGATCTTGAGTTTCAAAATTTTAAAAAAGCTTGGGTGGAGATACACCCTATACCAAAGTTATTTATTGTTCGGCAATATCTATAATTTTGCAGTTATTTTTTTCATTTGAGAGGTTCTAGGCGTCTATATAAGACCGTGAAGGAGGCCCTCCGATAGCCGATATCAATTACTTTCTGGGTTTACAAAAGTTAATTCGAGTTGGATATTCTCTACCTAATATTAAAGAGCGATGCGCTTGTTCCTATCCACTTTTTCCATCCAGAATTATCCTTACCTTCGTACCTCAATTTCCCGTGTTCACTCGCCGTTACCTTCGTATTGCTCCATAACTCTTTTTTTTGTTTTTTTCTGTTTAAATTAATGTTTGTGTTCTTTGTTTTTCCCATGTTTAAGTAAATGTGGAAATAGCTATGAAGATTTTTTTTCGGACAGGAACAAAGTAAATAGCTAGGAAGATGCATAATAAAAATCTACTCCGTATCTGTTTTTTGTTCAGTCTTTTTGTTCTTGGTTCCGTTCTCTTTTTTTTTAACCTTTTTCTTAGTCATTTGTTTTCGTTTCTTTTTTCATAAGGTCGTTTTTTCCATTCCAGTCTTTTGTTCAGACCTTTTGTCGTCAGGACTTCCTTGCCGCCAGTTCTGTTACACTTTTTTTTATTTGTCTTTTTTTTGGTGCGTTTCTGTTTTGCTTCAGATGTGGAACCCTGTTCGGCCTCTCATATACATGTACACTATTTCAAGATTATGAATACTACACGGAAGAATAGCCAAAGCATTGCACAAAGTGATGTGTTTCACCATATAAATATTAGCAAAGAGAGGTCAGATGATCCATAACCCTGTTAAACGTACGAGGCCTAACTAAACTCAAGCAAAGCAACTCTCCGGAAAGAACTGAAAAAAAACTGGGTGTCAAGTTTTGCAGCGACCCAATCTAAAGGGAGGGTAACACGAAACAGGAAAAACATGGTGTCATTTTAACAACGAACCATACCCAATCTAGAGGAAGAGTAACAACAAACATGCAAGTGATCGATGACATACTTAACATAGCAAATAATCTCCTTGCATCAGCAATATTTTGCAGGTCAAATAACAGAACATTGAGAAGGTTTAAGAAACAATTACCATGCAAAGGAACAAATGTCAAATGTCAGCTGATTTAACAGGAAGCAGGTCCTAGTAGAAATATTATGAATGAGCAGAACAGTTTTCACTACAACAGTGTGAAAAGATGGCGAGAATCAGCACTTCATGAAACAATGATCAACTCAACACTTCTTTTATGTTTCTCCAGGTAGAAGCATTTAGCTAGTGATTCTGGAAGATCCATTCAAAGCAACGCACAAAATTAAGCTTGTTCCTTAGTTGAATCCTTTTTTCTGCATACTTCATGCGATTGAATCTAACTCGCTCTAACTGAACCTGCATAAGGAAAAGCATAATGTAAATTTGTATAGCTCATCACAGTAGACATAAAGCAAAAAAGCAATATATGCGGAGACCAAACTGCAATTGCACTGATCATCCTTCTTCTAACAGAAACACGTAAAAGGTTTATGCCTAAAAATGAACTCTACTGGTAGTGTGGACTAGGCAAACATTGCATAGCCATTAGGTGCCTTCATTGAAATAATTGTCAAGACATCATATAGTAGTGCTGGTAATATAGAGAAAGCTGCCATTGCAAAACATCGACCGAAAGAGTAAATTGGAGTCCATGCAAAAATGTTAGGTTCAATTGACCCTTGATTGAGTTTTTTTTCTGTGCCAGAGAATGCTAAAATATATGCAATCAACAAGAATATGAACTTGCTTCCTCCTGTAGGTACAGGATGGAAGCAGAAGGCGATAGAAGATGGTTTATGGAAAATGAGTCTTGATGCGAGTTCCTTATCCTGAGAGAAGTGAAAGCACTAGCTCAGAGCGCTGGCTTAAAGTATCACTGGCAATTGCCTTTCGTGTTGCATGCCTTAGTCTATTCTTTTACTCCCTTCATGAGCAAAAACTGTAGCTAAATCGGGAGCCTAGCTTTTATGACACACATGTTCTTCTTCTTCCTCTAAGGTGGGCTACCGTCGAATGGGCAATAATATAATATGGGTCGGCAACACTTGGGAAATGCAACATATATATGTATATATATTGCACCAGTTCAATCTTCAAAGTATTTGTGGCCGGTTCAATTAAAACAGTCCAAAGCTATTAAAAGAGGCTCAGTAGTACTAGGAATATTCTGAGAAGGAAACATATGCATCTTCAGTCATATGATTGTGTTTTGTGCAACGAGGCCTCTTGAGGAAATGGTAGAGCATATTTTCTTGCACTGCAGCTTTTGCTAGAGATTGCTGGAATCTGGTAGGTATTCAAGTGCCTACTGCAGCTCAACCTTTGGAAATCCTTGAGAGTTTCAAAACACAGCTTGGTGTATCTTTCTTCATATGGAGATCATAGTACTAATGTGCTGGAGCGTTTGGACTGTTAGAAACAATCTTATCTTCAGAAATGAGGCTGTCAGTTTGGACCGCTGCAAGCTTTGCTTCCTTAGTGTCTTCGGCCTAGTTATCCTTCGTGTGAAGAAAAAGTACTTCCCTTCAATCGATTTATGGCTAGAGCATCTTGTGTAATCTGCCTTATTTTCTTCCTCACCTTCTTTGTTTCTTGAACCTGCTCTGTTCCCCTTTTGTACTCCCTTTGTACTCCTTTGTTTGTTTCCTGTTTTTTAATTAATATATGCTCCAGTAGGGACCAGCCTCTGATCCCTCCTGTTCTCTCTCTCAAAAAAAAGAACTGGTTTTCACGATTGAATCAGTTAACCAATGATCTTGCCGATTCGATTAATCCTAATACTATGGATACAGAGTGAAACTCAACTCTGGAGGGCAAGCTAGGCGTGACAAGGCTGGCGCACCCGGGGAAGCTCAGCTAAGCTAGCAGGAAAACAGAAGCAACAGAAAATATGGTACGTCATATTTCACAAAAACTAATTTTATATGTAAAATTGATTATTTCGCATCAAATATTATTATTTTGTAATCCATAAAAGACTAGCTTTGTCGTATTTTAAAAAAAAATCACTGATATATATACTTGGTTTGTTCCACATGCATTGACCAGTTCTTAGGCCTATCACTGTTCTTATAGATAAATAGTAGAGGCAACCGGATCTACTTTCAAACATATAATTTACTAGAAAAAAGACTGTGTAACCCCCTTAACTATTGGTGGGTTGTCTACTTCACCACTTCATCTATGAAAATAGTTATTCTACCCTTCAAACTATTGAAAACCATCTAAATAACCCTCTAGGCTGTTTTGAAGGTAATTTCACTGACGTGGCATATTAAAAAGTCTATATAACCCCCTAACATATCAAGGGTTGACTGCATAACTTCCTTCTACAAAACGTGATAATGTAGCCTTTTAGTATATCTAATAATATTCAAATGACCCCCTGTTGATCGTGTAGGACCCTTTGACACCGTATCCCGCCACACTGGCCTAAGTACTTATGCTTACACGTAGGCCCATTTGTTGTCTCCACCTCTCTACTCTTTCTAGGCTGGCACATGGGCCAACAAGTAGCATTTGACATCTTGTCTCCTGCTCCACCTCCCAGCACTCATCAATGCCATTGAGCTCAAGCACCACGTCTGCAACCTCATCATCCGGCGCCTCCCACGTCCTCCATTTGGTTGTCATTCAGTTTTTTAGGTAGCCATAGGAGGAGAAAATGATCAAGGGCGAGATGTAGGAGGGGCCAGATGACGAAGGGTGTAGGCGCAGTGCATGAGCTCAATGCCCTCGTGGAGTGCAGTGAGGTAGAGCAGGAGACTTTTCAATAGTTTAAGGATGACATGTAGACTTCTTCATATGCCGCACCAACAAAACCGCCTTAGACGGTTATTCAGACAGCTTTCAATAGTTTAAGGGGTAGACATGGTTTTACTGGTGAAGCAATGAAGTAGATAACTAAAAAATAAGTTGGGGGATTAAGTAGACTTTTTCCTAGTTTATTAGCTCTGAAAAGTGGGCATTCACGAAGTATTATATTTACTTTAGTCTTGGAGTCGTAATTAACATTGAGGAGGGAGCCTCCCAGGTCCACTTCTAACTCCAACCATTAGCGGGTGGTGTTAATTATTTTTTCTATATATTTGGAAACTAAATATTGTAAAAAAACTGTGAAGCAAAACAGTACTAGCCTGATAATAACTATATACCACAAAACCATAGAGTAGCAATTCATAACCTATGAACTGAGAATAGCCTCAGTTGGTTGGAGGCGTGTGCCAGTCATCTCATAGCTAGGCTTGAGTCCATTGCATCACCGATTTCGATCTTATGTCTTCTTTATTAGAATACAAAGGTTGAGTACACAATTATAGAGATTGGTCTAATCTTTTCTCCGAGCAAAATTTGTAGCTAAATCAGAAAGCCTAGCTTTTATGACACACATCTACTTGTTCTTCCAAGGTGGGCCACCGCCGAATGGGGAATATGATGAGTCAGCAACACTTGGGAAATGCAGCATCAGAAGAAAGCCTTTTGCATCAGCTGAGAGATATGTGGAAGAGTCCTAGGGGCACAGTGCTCCGAATCGAGGCATTAGCGTTGGTGGCCATTGCTCTCTCTTTCTTCCTTGCTGCATTTGGGTATTGCCGCCGCTGGTCCAAGAGTTGGATCATCCAGCAGGGTTTCCTGGCTGCAAATGCATTGTTTCTGTCCCTCGGGACATACAGCATTGGCCTAATGCAATCTTCACGGGTGAAGAGCGAGATGTACCCGATATGGGCGGTATCCTTACTAGCTCTCCTTTGCTGCGTCGACTCAGCTGCTGCGTCTGGGCTCGACAACAAAAACCAGCTCTGGAAGATGTTGTATCAGCTTTGTCTCTACTTTGGATATGTCCTGCTAATGAGCATCACAACCATCTCTAGCGATATTGGTAATGTAGCCATCTGTGTGTTAGCTGCCGTGACTTTCATGAAGGGATTTCATAGGCCAATGGCACTTGTTCTGCCAAGCTCTATGCGGAACATGATCAGAGAGATTCCGGCACATAGGAGGATTAGAAAATGTTCTTTTGGAGATGCTGATGAAGAAAAAGGCTTAATTGTTGATAGGAAGCTTGACGTAATTATTGGATATCGTCGGGAGGTTGACATGGGTGATATAGCTTCCATGAGTTGCGAAGAAGGCATTACTAAGATTGTAGAATCAGCCCTTGATGCCTGCAAGGATGCGTGCCTCTCCTTCTCTCTGTCTCATTTGTTGCACCGGCGTTTCCTTGGGTTAAGCACCGGCATTACACCAGCGGTGGCCGACGGCACAAAGCCCTTGGTTAAAAACTACGAGCGGGCCTACAAGGTGGCTGAGATTGAGTTGGCTTTCCTCCATTACTATGAGGCGAAGAATGCTAGCGTCTGGGCATTTGCTTCGGTTGTCGGCATATGTTTCGTAGGGGCAGTGGCCGCCATACCTGGCATGAGGATGACCCGCCGTGCTGCTCCTGCGGGCACCATATTTGTGAACACCACAACAGCGGACTATGTTATTACTGGAGTAATACTGGTGTCTCTAGCTCTACTACAGGTGGTGCAGATGCTACGCTGCTGGACCTCAAATTGGTCCAGAGTTTCCTTTGCCCGTGATTGGGTCAGCAAGACTCTGGACAAAAGTAATCATCATAAAGTGAGCAATATAAAAGAAGAAAAGAGAATTAAAGCCGACGATGTGAGCTGGGGAATGAGACTGAGAGCATATCTTCTCAAGAAAAATTGGTATGACGACAAATACTACCTATGGCAAAATAAGCTCGGGCAACATTCAGTGATTGAAGAATCCGGTTCCATCATGGTGGGTTTCTGGGGATTTCTGGGTCACCACCGCTGCCATCAGGTATTCTACAATCGGATATTCTGTTGCGGATTTCTGGTGAATTTTTGCGGCTGTATTCCTTTCTGCACACAAATGATGGCGGTGTGCTTATTCCTGGAGCAAATTATCGGGAAATGTTGTTCGCATCTAAAGTCCCTTGTAAAGAGGTGTCCCCGTGATGGCGGATTTCTGCAGTACATAAGACGAGAGCTCCAGGAAATGTTGAAGGGCGGCTCCAGGAGTCCCCGTGACCTGCACTGCGATGTGAAAACATCCATTGGTTGTTTTATTCTTGACAAGATGAGGTCCGATGAAGTGAGTGGCTGGGCATCCTCCGAAGAGGAAAATAGACAAAGAGGTTGCCAGCTTCCAGACTTCTCTGTCAAGGTAGCTGTTAAGCCATCGTCTTGTATTCTCATGTGGCACATTGCAACATGCTACTGTGAACTGCACGACCAAGTTCATGTTGTAGACGAAGACAACAAGGATCGTGGCGTGGCCACGGCTCTGTCCAAATACTGTGCATACTTGGTGGCTTCAGCACCGCGCTTACTCCCTGGCCGCTTCGAGACTACAAAATGGGTATACGCTCAAGTTAGGGAAGTGGTGATTAGCTGGACGACCGGAACAGGAGACAAGTTACGGGCAATGGACAGTTGCAACACGGATGATATTACACTTAATCCATCTGAGGGTGTTGGATACTGGGTCTATGCCCTGGGTGTGAAGCTTGGGAAGGGACTAACTAACAAAGAAATGGCTCCAGCTGATCGGTGGAAGTTGCTGGTAGATTTCTGGGTGAAGGCATTGGTGTACGCCGCGCCATCGGACGACGTGGAGGAGCACATGCAGTACCTCTCGCAAGGTGGCGAGCTCATCACCCATCTCTGGGCGATGCTCTATCATGCCGGCATCCAGAAGTGGCAGCTGAACCCGCCTGCACAAGACTGCAAGATGGGGTGGGATTACATCTTTAGGATTCGCTCCTGGAATGACCTCGCGCATCACATGGTACGTATGTACTAGATCCCGGCCGGTCTACTTTATTGCTTTGTCATTTCTTTTTTCTCATGCATTACTCTCTGTATATCGGCTATTTATTTGCACTCATAAATATATTTGCTAAGGTTCTATTCAAAATATGTGTATAATTTTGGCAAAAATAAAAAGAAAACTTTCCTTTTTCGACGGGTTAAGGTAAAATTTTCTATATTATTGTCAAAATTCTTCATATGGATCCAAATGACGCCCTAGAGTCATGCCATTCTCGGCAAAAAAATCTTCCTACGCCGGTCCACACATCCTATATAGAACTCCACCTAAAACCTGAATTCCACCGAACTCATTTCCTTTCCTAGCACCCATGCTCAAAGACCCCCTAATATAATTAACGCCATCTCGGCCCCCATATGTCTGATGCTCCGATCCACCATTGTGACTTGTGTTGTTTATATTTTTTCATTGTTATATGCAATTATGATCTATCATCTATGATGAATTACTAGAGATAGTTCCTAGCAAATCATGAAAAATTTCCTATGGATAAACCTTTAGTTTGCTGAGGCCTGATACATTTAGAGAAATGCTATACATTAGCCGGTTGTTTCATTTGCTCAAAATAGCCGGTTTTGTGGCCGTTCGTTTTGTTTGTGTTTCTTCATTTCGATCGTCCGATCCATCTTAGCGCGCGGCACCCAGCTCCGTCGTCGTCTTCAGTTTCTGACTGTGGGCCAGCGTGGTTTTTTTTGACTTTCTTGGTAGTGGCGCCCGAATTTTCTCGGCCGTTTCCCACTTTCCCGATTCCCCCATTTTCGATTCGGCTCCCCCTGCAACCGAGTTGAGGCGACTCGCGGCAGCTCCGGTGCGGCGGTCGGCGCTGTCAAGGGTTTCGGCGAGCTAAGTTCCTTTGTTCCCCTTCCCATGTTTCCTTTTGGCGTCACTGCTGTTTGTATTCTGCTGCGTCTCGAGGATTTCGCCGGTACCGAAGAAATCCCCGCCACCGCCGCACCTGCCAGCGCCGGTGGATCTAGTCTCGACGCAGGAGGGTTGCGCCCGCCGTCGATTGGAGGGAGTAGTCGTCGCCGGCCTCGTTGATTTGAGAGAGTCCGCGCTGCTATGCGTAAGATCCCTTAGCCACTCGGCTGCTGCCTCCGTCGCTGCTTCATGCATGACGGGCGCGGGCGTCCCTGGCGGACCACAGCCTGCTCGTCCGTCGCGCGCCGCTTACCACTGTGGACGGGCGCGCGTGGTGTCCCCGCGTAGGCTCCAGTGGAGTCGCGCAAGCAGCAGAGCCGCATGCTCCAGCGCCCAAGCACCACTAGGCCTGGTGGCCTGTTCTTTTGTCCGAAGCAGTCCGTTTGCTGCCCTCTCCTCTCTCATTGCTTCGTGACCAAGGAGCTAGATCGATCTCCTTTGTTACATGTTCAGTTGTTCAGTTCAAGTGAATAGTTTATATATGCTCAAGTTGATTTGCTGACTATTTGTTTAGTTCTAGTGAATTGTTAGTCATGTCCTGGGTGGTTTTGAATCTTCCAATATATTCTATGTTTAGTTCAGTGTAAATCTTTCAGAATAGTGATGTATTATTTCATTGTAGAGTTTTAGTTAGTTTCTGATCCTGCATAGTTTGAGTTTTAGATTTAGTTTTAGTTTTCTTCAGAGTCTACCAGTGTGAACCATTGCAATCTTTTTTTGTTCAGGTTATAGTCATTTGTAGTTATAGTCATTTTATTTAGTTTCTGTTTTAGTAAGATTCAGTTCTAGTCAGTCTTGTAGAGTTCAGGTTATTTAGTTTCAGCAGGTTATTTAGTGTTCACCGAGAAGTTCTAATGTTGGATTCAGTTTTTTTTGTTCATTTTTAATTTTTAGTCTTAGTCATTTGTAGTCATAGTAAGTTTATTTAGTTTTTGTTATTGTAAGATTCAGTGCTAGTCAGTTTATTCAAATTTAGGAAAGATTCAGTCCTAGTCAGTTTAATTAAATTTAGGAAATTGTGTTCAGTGCTTTCAGTTTATTGAGTTGTTGCTTCATTCATAGTTTTAGTCTATTGTTTGATTCGTTGTTGTTTTCCATGTTCCCAGCGCTTTTTTTTTCTGTGTTGTTTAATCTGAAATCTGAAATGAGTTCGAATCTGAGAGCGGTTGCGCGGCAAGGGGGGGAGGGGTTGGGGGGGATATTCGTGGGTTGGGGGTTAGTTTCAGTTGTCTTTTGGGTCTTAGTTTCATTATTACTTTATTTCTTAGTTTCATTCTTAGTTCAGGTTATATTTATTTAGAGCTTTTTAGTTATTCTGTTCATCTCAATTACAATCATGTCAGTTCAGTTTCATTCTCTCTTTAGTTTAATGTCTACTAGTTCATTTCAATCTTCAATTACAGTTATATCATTTCAGTTATATGTCTAGTCAATCTTCAATAACAGTTATGTCAGTTCAGTTTTATGTCTAGTCAATCTTCAATAACAGTTATGTTTGTTCTGTTATATGTCTAGTCAATCTTCAATTACAGAATTTCCTTACTGCAAATTCTACTCTAATAAGCTGCATTTGTTTCATAAGGTTATTCTTTTTTTTCTTTTTTGAGTTCAGTTTTTGGGTCAGAAGTTGAGTTGAGTTTAAGCTTTTGTTTAGTTTTTTGGAAGTATGTGAAACTCATTAAAAATGTTAAATTGTATATACTGATATAAACTCAAATGTTGAAATAAATAGCTCATTAGTGCATTTTTGAACCTAAACCTGATTTGAAATTAGGTTTATGTATCAAGTTCAGGGTTAGTGCATATTATTAGTTTCACTGCATTCTATTGATTAAAGGTTCAGGTTCAGTTTCATAATCAGGTTTAAGTTCAGTTTCTTTATCCGAGTTATTTAGTTCTCTTGACCAATGTTAGCTATAATGTTTTGTTTCTTAAACAAAGGGTTTTTATCCTCATTTATTGCCCTTGTGTATTGTCTGAATTGTTCCATAGCTAATTAGTATGATTGAATGCATCTTTTTATAACCAAGCTTGTTACCTCTCTTTGTGTAGGATCTCAATGCAGTAAGGTTCCTAGCAGAGAAAACCATAGTGGAAATGAAAGGAGAAAGGTCCCTCCTCTGTGAGATTCAGATGCTTAACCAATTTTGATCGGCATCTTGGAGGGACCACAATGACAGCAGAACACTACCCCTCTACTGAGACTCTGAGAGCAGCTATCACTGTTCATTTATTAACACAATGGATAGCTATTTTTCCAAATTCCATATGTGAGTCTGTTCTTTATGTCACTTTTTTCATGATATCTGACTGAACTACATATTTGTATAAAACGTCACTGTATTTCTTTTCTTTTTCTTTGTTCACTGCTACCAATTTGGATGTAATTTTCTTTTTTTTTTACTGCCCTTTGATGGTAATGGATGTCAAATCCCGGCTATTTTACTGAAACAAAACAGCAAGATTTTTTTTAGTATTATCCGGCTGTTTCTTTCTCTTGAAATAGCAGGTTGTTTTGTTTTACTGAAACAGCCGGATGTTGTATAGACACTTCCTAAATTTATTTACTGGTATTATAAACACCTTGTTAGGGAAAAAACAAGCAACCGGTGAATGATGGTCACCCATCAGAGGTCTGGTTTGACAACGCCAGCAACGGCGCCCTACAAGATGGCGCTTCCTCCGCCGTCCCCTGGAAATGCTCACACAACATCCGCACTTCGTCTACCTACTACTTGATCGAGGAGTATACTCCAGAGATCGAGTCCAGAGTGAATTAGTGTGTGTGTGTGTGTGTACAGGAACAAACGCCAAGGGACATGGACGCCGTGTAAAATGAGTTGCTCCCCCCCCATCCTCCTTGCCATGTGGCTTATTTATTATGTTTTATCGCGCCCGCACGTTTCATTATGGGGTGAGTGGCTTGGTTTATGCAGCAATGCTTTTTGCTGCTGTGTCTGCGTGCCACTATATATGCTTGCTGAGAGTGATTTGTATGTTTCCCTTCCTTTCCTCATATATGTATAAACTGACTCCTGTGTGTATGTTTAATTTCCAGGCCTTCTATTAATAATGGAAGTAGAGAATAAATTTGCATCATCCTCTGCCCATATAGATTGCTTTTCTGTTTCCATATAAATGCAGCCTCTATTTGTGTGGGATTATTTGCCTGGTGTTGTAAGTTTGACAGATCTGCTAGCTAGCTCTTCCCGTGCACAATCTTTATTCTAACCATGTGCTTGTTATGAACCTTCACTACCAATTCGCAACTACAGCAGTACTGATACAATTTGGGGGAAGAATCAGAGGGAGTTTAGACTGGGAATAGCAAGGAATCGGGGGAGACAGCAAGAACAGGTACAGGAGTCGGACAGAGGAGGAAGACGAGTCGAGTTCAGTATATTCTTTTCGATGTCCGTTCCCGTGTCGCTTCGGTCCTTTATTGTCTTGCTCCTGTTCCAACGGAAGCACTTGGAAAGCCCCTCTCGTGGCCCAGCTGGAAGCCCACGATCCATCGCCCCAGTCCATGACAGTGCTTTGGCGATGCACGCTTCTCCAATCAAGCTGATTTTTTTTTTTTTACGAAAGTCAAGCTGATTTGGGAAGGCAACCTATGATTTTGCTTGCCATGCAGCAGGAATCCACGCGAGGGAGATAACACATCATATACAGCCGCGGGGCAACTGCAGTTGCCGGCGGGAGCACATACACACAACACTGTTAATCTGGAGTGTATGTGTATATCATTGTCGTTCAGAACAAATAATACTGAGAGGCCGATTTTTATAGCATGCAACATCAATTTGATTGTAGCCTTGCCACACATCATCACACATTCACACTTTAATAATAGTTTAACATATGCAGTGGCCTATCAATTAATATATAAATCCGAGTTTCACACTTCACGCAGCAGTGGATTGACCCGCAAACAGACTTGGTACTTTTTCATATAGTTCATACACACCGCAATATAATAGATGGTTTTGTTTCTCTTAATTAAGCAGCAGGGTCATTATTACCTTGTTCTTGTGCTTTGTCGAAGAGTTCTGTGCTTGCTTCACAAGTGAAGCTAGTGGCTTATCAGTCTTGGTCACCTGATGATAATTGTCATCAAAGAGCATGAGGCAGTTATCGAGATCTGACAAGCCCTTGGAGGATTTGGATAGTAGAGGGTTGAAAGCGGTCGAACTCGGTCGGGATAACCCCAATATTGTTTTCACTTTTACATTTCAATACGAAAACGAACTAATTCGGTCGGGAACATGTCGAACACGGTCGGAATACGAAAAGCAAAATGGAAACACCGGCCCGTAGAACCTAGTTGAGCATGACAACATGCCAACAGTCCGGTACCGACAGTCCGACACAACCACACATGGTCATGCACAATTCACTTGTACACATACATTGATACACAAATCACCAATTCAGCATGACAATTGATAAATAGGCAACAGGTCTAAATATTTAGAGACATTTGGGCTAGCCAACAGGTTATATTTCAGCAGCACTTCCCGAGTTGCTCGAGGGCTGGGCCGCTGGCTGCTCGAGTTGCTAGCTGGGCCGCTGGCTGCTCGAGTCGCTCGCTGTGGCTGGGCCGCTAGCTGCTCGAGTCGCTGGCTGGGCCGCTGGCTGCTCGAGTTGCTGGCTGGGCCGAGTCGCTGGCTGGGCCGCTGGCTGCTTGAGTTGCTGGCTGGCCGCTGGTTGCTCGAGTCGCCGCTGTGGCTGGCCACTGGCTGCTCGAGTCGTTATTGGGCCGCCCGCTGGCTGCTCGAGTTGTTGACTGGGGCGCCCACTGGGTAAGAAGTAAATTCGAATGTCCGCTGGCGATATATACGGATATGCGAAACGATCGGGATAGGGCCCAAACCGATTTCGTCCCCGATTTCAAATTTCGTGTCCTGCTTTTCCGCATCGATTCCGCTTTTGTCCGAAAATACGAAAACGATCGGATTAAATGTAGAAATCGGGGCGGAACGGAACGGGATATATCCCGACCGTTTTCAACCATAAGTACATCCATGAAACTGTGGTCTATGCAGACTTTGACAGATCGAGCTGGGCTCGAGCTGCACCATGGAAACAACCAGTTGGCAGGAAAGCTTCACTACTCGCAGGCATTCAAATGTGGCGTCATTGTTTATCTCTATCATCTCCTTAAGCTTTATCACGAGCAACACTATGTCGACAGGGGCAGCACCGATGAAATCATGTGCATTCACCATCGTGCCGTCGCATATCGCCACAGCAAGGGATAACAGGGCCACCACGAATTCCTTTTCATGTTTACTGGATGATGATGATGATGACGGGTTCCCTCCGTGGTCTTCTGCTGGACGCGGGTTCTCCTCATCGTTTTGTGCTGCATGATTGCTGTCTGCTCCTGCTACCCCAGCAGTAGCGCCATCGCTTTCTTCTCTTTGGATAGATAGTATGAGTTGAAGAACCTGATGCACCATCAGTTAACAATATGTTGAAGATGATAAGCTGAAATGAATGAATGTGCAGGAACGAAGACGTAGTCATCTAGATGGGTATGGGGTTACCTTTGTCAACATCTGGATCACATCCTGCCTAGGAAGTTGCCTGTGCTCATTCGTCAAATGTGAACATAAGCACTTGAGGATTTCTGCCGCCCACAGCCCTTACTATTGCCTGTAATGAGCATGCAGGTAAGTTGGCCAATAACGTGACCCTCAGAACCACTTGGGATGAGCATCTGCAGGATATCTGAGGAACTTCCTGCGTCCAGCACAGGGAGCATCTGTACCAGTGCCTCCCCTGCTTCGTGTCTCAATCTGGTAGCCTGCTCTTGCTGTGTCTCTTCTTCTTCTTCTTCAATGGCAGTCCTATTGTTGTTGTCACCAGTACAAATGCCATCCTTTTGTGGAGCTGCAAAGAAGATGCCCCACAATCGGGACATGAACTTGTGTTTGTCACCTTTGCCCAAACTCGTCAGAATCTTGTTGTCTGAAGACGCCAATTCTGCAAGGATCAGGATGGCTGGTGCCTTTAGCACTGGGCCAAACTTGTCACCCTCTAGAATCCTTGTCAGGTTAGCGACGGTCTGTGTATTGCTTGCGGTCTCGTTGCGCAGGCTTCTGTTGGCTTCACCAGGAGCACGGATCAGCCTGGCTAAGATCTGTTAAGATCTATTATGATCACATAGTTATAGATCTAGCCGGGTACATCTTGTAAATGGATAACATGTCCTAGTACGTGAACTAGACAGAGATTAGAGGGAGGAGTAGTGCTAAGTTACCGACCATCGTAGGCCTTCGATCTAGAGGCGTCGGCCATGGTCGTTGTGTCGGTGTCTGCGCGAGGGCAGCGACGGTCGGTGAGGACGGTGACGGTGATGGGCGGTGGTGACCGGCGGTGAAGACCGGTGGCGGCGCAGTGCAGTGGTGGCGGTGCTTCCCGTCACTGGCTGCGCCCCTCACTAGATCGGGTTAGGGTTTTCGGTAGAGAGCTCGGCTCAGGCGAACCTCGTACTCTGAGCCGCCGGCCCCCACCTATATATTGTGCAGTGTGACAGGGGCCCTCCAGCCATAGTGGGCTGAGCGCCCCAGATCAGGTCGCGGATCAAAGGCCCAACTGGGACGTTGGGCCCAGTTTAGGATTAGAGATCAATCTAACAAGATCCTCAGTGATCTGCTCAGTATGTCGATCCACTCACTGTCATACTCCTCTGCTGCGTTGTCAAGGAAGGCATTGGATGAGTTCAGTGGCGCTGTGATCTTTGAGAGCAGGACATGGTTGTTGCATATGTGCACACAGTTTCCTTGGTGCTGGATGAGCCTCTCGAGGTCAGTTTCCTCCTCATTCTCAAAGGTTTTATAGATGTAAATGTTGAGCAAAGATAGGATGCCCCCGTATACGAGCCCACAATAAAGGTTCCTTCCTGCCTGCTCGTCCTCCTGCTCCTGCATGCTTTTCGTCGTCGTCCCTGCAGTTGTGGGCAACTGCTTATTAGAGGCTTGTTGAAACAGTGAAGCTATGTGATCCACTGCTGAGGGGAACTGGTCAATGTGGCGGAGATCGCCGGCAAGAGCCGCAACAACCCTAGCTGCACGCTCCCTGATCTCGCTGCCGCCCACCTTGAGCCTTTCCATAAGGTTCTCAAGGGGGGCCTTGCAAGGCAGCAGCGTGGGTGCCACCAGTATTTTGTTCCCGACGAAGGTGTCCAACAGACGAACCGCGTTACGGCGATCATCCCGAGATTCGGAGCCGAGCAGACCGACGGCAAAGGTGATCAAGTTCCAGCCCGAGGTCACTCGTCCTTGTGTGCTGCACATCTTTCTGGTTTCTAGAACGTATCTGAAAACCCAAATTTTACCCCAGTTGTCAAATCCACATTGCTTTCTCACAACTGACGCACGATCTGGCCAAGTATGGATAAGCCACTTCCACAAGTAGAAGAGAGCATTCTGCGCCAGAACAAGAGAGCAGAAGATCCGCAGGGATGCCTTGAGCTTCTCTGCATTGGCGGCATCTCCACCCGCATTGCCATAGTGGCTTACCACAAGCTTGATCAATGAAAGAACTATGGCAAGCAGCGGGGCAACGATAAGAACCTGAGTCACGACAGAGTATACAATTAATTATCAGCAACCCAAGGCAGGCTTCAGCAACAACGGACCATACAGCAACCAAACAGCTGAATCAATATCTTCGCGACAGATCATCAAGTAGTCCAATATATGCCGAGCCCACCGCAAACATATATGCTATCGTTTGCTCTAACAAATCTGCTACACTGTTCAACAGTAAATGAGTTTAAAATTAGGCAACTGTATTAATTAATCTACAATGTCTTACTAAAACTCACAGCTGATGGTGTACAAACTTCTACATTGCCTGCTATAGCTCTATATAGCTTTTCAATCGACAATTGGACATGGCACTACAATACTACTAATTCTCGCTACTGCCACTGCCACCGCCATAAAGGACATTTTAGCTAGCTATTTTGCTTAGCCGCAAAACTTTTTTGGCCAAGCTAATCCAAACCGAGGCAAATATATATTCATTTGCTCACTCTAGATGACTATGATCTATATAACACCATTGTGTGTTCATTATTTAGTAAATGATGTAGTAAATAAACTATTAAATAACCCTTGATTTATTTGTTTTTAAATTTTAATGAGTATTAGTGCTCATTTTAGCCTTGAGTGTGTTGATTGATTGAATAACTATGAAACAATGACATGTAGAGAAATTCTCCTAATGCCCTGGACATGTATTTGAATATTTATGTTCATAAATTTCTTAGTTCCATATATTTATGCATAATTTATTAATTAACGGTTTTTATGCTTTCTATAAATTAAAATTGCTAAATGAAATAGCTCCATCTATATCTCACTATATCTTTTTATAGCTCTTAAAGTAGGGCTCTGCTAAATAGCTTAACCTACTAGTTAAAACATTGCAAACTGGTGGCATGGCACATCTTGTATGGTACCAGACCATGGGCTCAATTGTTGGCCTAGACACGGCACAAGCATAGAGTAACCATGCCATGGCACCTTGGTCAGCCTAGTGAGGCGATGAGCCTACCTGTATTGATTGCGTCGATGTCATGACAATTTCATAGACACAACCAATGAGCCTTGTCAAGCTTATAACTAAGAAGGCTGTACGGCAGGCAAGCGTGTAGAGATGTGATGCACTGCCATCAAGCAGGGGTGCCGTTGCTGTTGGGCATCATCCGCCAGCCACAGGGTGGGGCAAGGAACTGTTGAGTAGGGCCACCATGTCAAAAGATGGCGTTAGAGTTTGGGGGAGGGTAGAGCAGAAGTTTTTTTTTGCGAAACAGGGTAGAGCAGAAGTTGTGTCACGCTTGTAGTGTCATCGCCTAGGGAACGAGCTAGTGATACTGTAAAACCCTAGAAGTTTAACCATTGCCATCTGTGTTCAATTTTCAAGTAGTGGTATTCCATTTCAATTATTACTTACTCCAATTATCATTTTTAGTTGTTATTTTTATATGCTTTATGTGCCAATGTCCGAATCATAGATAATTTCCACCAACTATCATCTTCAAGTGGTATTCAAATTCAACTGGTATCATTTTGCAACTGATATGTTTTGACTTAAAAATCTAGTGCATGTTTCCTACAAGTAATTCAAACACTTGTATGCACACTTTTAAGGGTGGTTACTCTATGGTTTGAGATCTTTGAGACTAGCACTGTTTTGAAGCATAACTTGTGTGTATTCTCATTGTAAGGAAAATGAAGTCCTATGAGATAATCAATGGTTTGAAAGGAATCAATCTTCAATTCAGTATCATTTTGATGTTTTCAATTGGTGTGTCTTCAATTCATTTCATATCTGCTATCTCCATGCAATATATAGATTGAACTCCCTATTTGTGGTTTAATTAGCTAGTTATTATACTTATGTTTTGCCTCCCAACATATATGTGCATACACTTAGGGAGAGCTTAGTCTATGTAATGTGAGTGTCAAGTACTTTGATCAACTTCACTCTAATCCAAAGGATCACAATAATGGACACTCCCTTGTGCTACAAATGCCTTGTTGGTGTTTGATCCCAAAGGGGGGTAATTTATGGACCAAAGCAAGCCTATCCAACAATCAATACCAAAATCATCAAATAAAAATTTTCTTATTTTTATGGTGATTATAAGAGTAGTGGGGGAGTTTTGGTTCTAGAAAGGGAGTAGTGGAATAAGGGGAAGGATTATGTCCATAATTCCACACAAGGGGGACAAGTAGATTTGGTAAGAACATGGTAAGGTATCAAAATTGGTTTCATGTACCATTCAATTTGTATCTTTTACGTTTAATTGTATCTTGTTCTTACATTGCATCCAAGCAAGTAGGTAGGTTTCATTTTTGGGATCCATTATTGATTATGGTGATAGAATCACAATGTAACCATTGCGACTAATGTTGTCCTCTACTATACAAGGTTTTAGTCCTATGGATGGAACCATGTACTTTGGACAAGGCGAAAATGAAGATCAAATGATGGACATCCCAAGCAAAGGATTAGAAGTTGTGTCGAATACTCTAGGAGACAATAAAGAAGGCTTAGACCTCAAGTAGAAGAGGCCTGGATGAGAGATGTGAAGAAAACAAGTTCATTGTGCACTAGACGGCTACACTAGAGTTCTTAGATGAGCACCGGATATACCAACTAGAGAAAAGACATATTGCTTGTTGGATCCGTCCGATCATTGTTGAGCCCAATAGGAAGCTTTGGTGATGCAACGAAGCTCACCACTGGAGTTTATATGGCTCCACTACAAATTAGCGAGAAGAAGACGACTCATCATAACTTCCAGTGGTCAACAGAGACTACAACACCAGATTTTAGGTGATAGAGAAGCTGTAGACACCGTGGAGAAAGACAAAGTGTATAGGCCATGTCCAGAGGCTATATAGTACCATTTTATCCTTGCCAGATTCTCTAGTGGTCATCAGAGTGCCACTACTAGAGCTTAGGCTCACCAAGGGTAGCAACGACTAGTCCAATGCTAGCTGATGTGGTGGACACCAAATCTATGGTAGAGTCAGCAGAGGTCTCTGGTGCTCACCACACGAGTGTAGTCCTTTGCCAATGGAATTTTTGATGGGTGGAGGCTATATATACCCCCATGTTCGGTCATTTGAGTGTAGTTGGAGTTGAGGAAAGTGGCGTGTGAGTTGAGGCTCATTTCTTTGTGCTCTAGCCACCAAAAGTGCTTAAGAAAGACTAGGCAATTAGTGTTAGTGCTTTGCAAATTGCTTAGTTAGTTAGACACCGCTTGTTAGCACTAGCTTTAGATTTAAGCACAGCGCTTATTAGTAAGGTCCCATGACATGGCAAAGGCATATAATGTTAGATTTAGGCATAGGCATAGTGTTAGGTCTATGCCACTTGTTACCACCAACATCCTAGCGGCGCTGATGAAGCCTGCCATGGCCGCACCACTACAGAACCGATCGCAAAGTGTAATCAGTACCGTACCATCGGGCAACCAATAGTGGCATTCCCCTGGTTATCGTAAAACTTCCACTACCACCTAGGACGAGCAGCCACTGCTGCGTCCAGAAGCTAAAGCCAATCTTGAAGGCCCTCTCCCAATGTTGCGACTGCAGTTAGAGGCGCCATAAGAAGAAGGATGCCATGAAGAACTGGTGTTTGGCTAAGAGATTTCTCTAAATTTGAAGACTTCAAGGGACCAAAATAAGTGGGATGAGCATAGGAGGCCCCTCCACACTTGGCTTAAATAGACAAACCTTGAAGCAATAGAAAGGAAAACGAACAACAAGATCCGTGACCTACGCAGGTCACGCGCGTAACAGATTAGCGGAGAAGATGAGGCGCTTCGGATTCCCTTACTCATTCATCCTTATCTATAACAGGACTTAATAACGCGCGATACCCGAAAGACCAAAGGAAGTTCCCACCAGTACATGCCTAGAAGATCCTCGGGAGCATCGACATATTGGGAACATCAGTGTGTAGACCTTCAGCACCAGCACCCTAAGGATCGGTCACACACCAGGCTCATCATCAAGTCCTTTGGGGGCTATTGTAGGTGATATGGACCAAGGGTACTAGTCGGTGATATGGACATAGGGTACCTCACCACCGCGATATAAGCCCACTACCATCAGGATAGCGGCACACATGGTGATTTTTGTTTCTTAATCGTGTAGTACGTACATCTTTTCATCATCACAAGGATAAAAAGACAAACATGCATAAATGAACCAAAGAGCACCAACTAATTAATAATGAATGAAAAATACAAATAATCAGCAGATGGAAACATCTTCATTGTTAATCTAGCATCCACCTAGCTCAAACATGCTCAAGGCTAGGCCGCCCCCAGTCCACGAGTAAGGTTCTCAAGCAGTTCAAAAGATAGTACAAGAACCAAAATGAGGTTTGTAAATGTGATGTCTACATAACGCATGCAGAGCACAAAAATCAATATAACTAAACAATGACGTGTGCATGTCGACATCGTTGGGATGCCATGGATGCCTCCTCAAACAAGCTCAAGGCTGTGCCGCCCCAAGGTTTGAACACAGAAGGTTCTATGGTGCGTGCCAACAACACAATCTCCTGTCAGTGTCGCTACTAAATCAGTCCACGTACAATTCTCAGGATCGTATGCTCTTAGTGCGGATGTCTAGCTTGTCCACCCACACGAGTATCCTCCCGTCATCGAGAACCACCAGCGGATCGTGGTACTGCACGGAGTACTTATCGTCACCAAACAACGTTTGCTCCAGCGCGCCATCATGTCGTCCTCCATGTCTTCCAGGAACCAGAGCTCCGTTGACCCTTTCTTGACTTTGCAGTAGAGTACCACCAAGTTCTCGCCCAATCTGGCTAGCTGAAAATGATTCCTACAAAGAAGAACAAGATCACAATTATGGGGCATGATGTAGTGCATGATGGGCTCATAGTCTTCATCCTCGTTGTTCGTGATATCTAGAAGTCACCCTATACATGTGCCGGTTCAAAACCGGACCAACCCATGAAACCAGTCCATAAAAAAGCCATTCTATAATTTCTGCTTGGGTTGGTTTGGGTACGGTCCAAAGCCGCAAAACCGTACGTGAGTACGTGAGGTGAGGTCATCTTGGTCATCGTCGGCAGCGGTGGCGTGTAGACTCGCCAGTGGCGGTGTTGTGGTCTCGACCAAGCCGAAGGTGGAGCCGGCCAGGGCAGCTGTAGCCGTGAGTTTTGTGGCGGTGACGGCGACGGCGCGTCCATCTTGGCCTATAGCGGTGGCGCGTCCATCTTGGCCTGCAACGAGAAGCTTCTTCTCGACCAGGCATAAGGTGTGGCAGGCTGGTGTGGCGGCCAACAACGCAGGTTTTGCGATGGCAACGATGTGCGGATCCATCTTAGCCGGCAGCGGCGTCTTGGTGCTTCATGCCTCGTCGTGATCTTCTAGAGCCCTCAACGATGGGCACCATGCGTGGGTCCGCCGCCGTCTTTGCCGAGGGGAGCCGATTATTAGTTTGATCTCCACCAATTGGCAACGGGCAATTGGACCCCTTGACTGCGTCCTGATCGGGGATGCTTAACCGACCACTAGTCGGCAGGCCCTTGTCACACATCGCTATATAAAGAGAAAGGTGGGGGCCAAGGCACACGAAGACGAGGTTTACCGCCGCCACTGACCCACGGAAGTAACCCTAGAAGGCCCCTCCGATCGTGGGCAGCGCTGCAAGTGACGGGAAGCGCCATCGACTGCCTCGCCGGCACCTGGACTATACCGCCACAAGCACAACACCAGCACCGGGACTACATCGTCACAAGCACCGTGCCTGCACTGCTACTATGACTCTAGTGGCCACATCGTTGTGGCGCCATGGCCGTGGCTACACATGGTGAAGTACATCACCAAGTCTCCCATTAATCTAAGTACTACCCACTGATCTACGCCTAGAATTGCTCTCTGAACTCTATCAATGGTATCAGAGCCATGGTTGCTAGTTTGTAGATCTAGTTTGAGGTAGCAGCAATTAGAAGGGGGTGAGAGATCC